AGTAAAATGTTTTATGCATATATAGGTACATCATGTAAACAACACTAAACATATAAAAGAGATGTTAACCCAGTATTTACAGTCAAACCTGCTCAGAAGAGGATGTGGGTCCCTGAAGGAAAGATCTATTGTTTTAATATGGCTACTTGTGTTGTCTCTTTTATATCAAGAGACAATTTCCTGGTTTAAAAAGCACTAACAGATACTAATACTGCAAACACATAACACTGACATTGGTATTCAACAATATAACAAAATACGAAAAAATGTACAACTCGCTTTAGGTTCTGAAACTGAGAATTCATTTCAAAGGTAATGTCCAGCATTTATTTTTTTATTTAAGTGAGCGTCCCTGTAGTGTCCCAAGAAAACGTGTAACTTTTCATTTCAGACATAGCGGACATATCCACATAAAAATACTGAACCATCCCTTTGATATCCTCGACAGAAAAAAGCTTTATCTTACAGTAAAATGTCTCAAACACAAGCAATACAAAAAAAGACAAAATTAGACATGAAGCATAAGTACCTGTATTAAAAGTGCACTATGTCACTTTTCAGATTGGTGTCTGCTACCATGGTAACGCTACTGCTTTCCACAATATAGTATTAAACTTATATAAGATGCATTTATTCAGTTATGGGCGTTTTTATTGTTCCAAAATACCTTTAAAACACACATTTGTATTCTAATCACCTTAATTAGAGATAATGGGTAAAGCAATAGTATCTCCATGGAGACAAGTACCTGAAAAGTGACACAGTGCACCTTTAGGTTTCATTTTGACCTGAAAATAAATTGGAGTCCCAAAATGGCCACTCACTGTAGCTGTGGTCAGTGCTGCTCTAATGGATTTTGACAAGCGTTTTGAAAGAATAAAGAAAAACATAACGACGGACAAAGGAATATTCTGGCTAAATTCATTTCATAGTGACTTTTTTTTTTTTTTTTTTTAATTAAAGATGAAGTGTGTAGCCTGTACTCTTAACCTGGATTCCTAGTACTTAAACCTGAACAAATACAAGTCTTGCCCATTCTCAGTATTGATACTTTGCAGCTGATGTCATTAACAATGTCTGCAGGGGATGAAGCTAACTGGAGGCACCGCTCCGTCTGAAGCTGTTACTCAGTCTGACATGACAGATGATTTGTGCTGTTAAACAAGTCCCTTTAGTCACATTTACAGCATGGATCTATAATAAAAACTGGATAAGGCGTTCCCCCTCTGTCCCAGCTCGAGACAGACTAGAGGCCACTCCAGGTACTGCAACTCCCGGGAGCTTGGGCCCAGAAAGAATTTTCCCATACAGAGCGATTCATTTTATGAGAATTCAAAGGCAGACAGGGCAGCCACAACTTTCACAAAGGTCAGATTTTGTAGGATTCTTTTCTGTTTCGGGAAAATATTTGGGAATATTATATTTGGGAAAATCAAGTGCCATTGTGGGGCCCCAGTCGCAAAAACGTTGTGTCCTTAGGCAAGACACTTCACCCACATTGTCTAGTATGAAAGTGGTGCGTGAGTGATGGTGGTGGTCGGAGGGACCAGTGGTGCAGATTGACACCCTCACTTCCGTCAGCTGTTTACCACCACCATGTGTGGAGTGAATAAATAATGCTCTGTAAAGCGTCTTTGAGTGTCCAAAAAAAGCGCTATATAAAACTGATGCATTATTATTATTATTTTCACATGAACATTTAAAAAATGTTAAATCCTCAAAGTGCCTAAAAGTGATCTTTGTAAGACCACTCTAGCAGCTCTCGCTCTGATTGGTCCAAACGCTCCACACTGTGCACGTTACAGACGTCACATGAGTGGGAGGAGCTCGCCCGGACTGAGGAAGTAAATGCGGAAGAGAAAATTATTTTTGGGTCCATGCGCCAGTGAGCACAGGCCACTGACAACAATATGATGCCATCTTGGGTTCACCTTCCAGATTTTATTATAGTTCTATGGTTTACAGTCACAAGCTCACTAGCTCTGGTTTCTCTCATCTTAAAACTAACACCTAAACAGGACCATAAACACTCCTGAAAATGTGTTGTTTAAATCCTCGCATCTAAAAACTTGTTGGACAGTGTTTGCTAATGTGAACACTGTGTCACCATAGTAACTGATGAACATTCTACCATAGACACACATGCTGTACACTCCCGGCATGACATCACTGCAAAGTATCAACATGGACAGGCCATGGCTCATGTGAAAGCTCAGAACAGGTTTTAGTTCTAGTTTTAATCGTGGCATCCGGCAACCAAAAAAAGTGTGTAGCTCATTCTGCTTTTTGAACACCAAATGACAACATAAACAGCTTAAATGTTTTTGTAATTAAGAATAAAACAACACTATAATGTTTTTTGACACAGAAGATCTATTCTTTTAAATGAAATCTTAAATTCTACATACACTCCCTCCCTTTTAACCAACACACATACTAGTATAGGCAGCATATCTGTTTTGAGAGGCTCTGTCACCGAAGCATTTACCCAGCAAGACACTGCCCGAGACCAAAATCCTTCTTTTCAAATAAACTATATTTGAAATCAATGAGAAAAACATGCAACTAATTGTAGACTATAAAACAGCAGGAAATCCAATAGTTTTAAATAGGCCCCAAAATAACTGGATTTAACTGCACGGGTTGGTCAAATGAGTTCTAGCAATTCAACTTAGCAATTTTGTTATCCAAACCTGCTAAACCAAACCACAAGAAAGCCAATCGCTCTCTTTAGTAGGACAGCGTATTTTTGTATTTCACATCATCTATTTACACACCTTTTTGAAAAACCAATGCTTATAAAACATTAAATTATCTAACCATGTGACTAACTCTCTAACTTTAGTATGGGGAAAACTCGGGCACTTGGGTAATACTTTTTTTGCAAACATTAAGCATGTTCATGTCTTTCTTTCGTGCCCTTTGCAAAGAGGATAAACCAAAAACTAAAATAAATAGCCAGGAGCCCCTATGCTAGGAAATTGTCTCTTCCTTGCCAATAGCTTTCAGTGTTTGTTGCCTGAGAAAAGTCCACAGTTTTGTTGAGAAAAAGGATATGAGCAATAGCTTAAAGATGGCCCATGGAACTTTTAGGGTTTAAGGTCCATTTCCTGCTTGGCTCCACGGAGACGTTGTTGGTTTGCTTAGAACGTACCACAGTATGGCATTAATCGTATTTATCTCCATGACAAGCAATTGCAATTTGTGTATTTCAGTGATGCCTGTGAGACAAAGAAGCTCATTTTAAACAAAACTGTAACATTTCTTTTACCACAGATTAAAAGAGTTTAGTGCTTTGCTTACTGATTCTGCAGAAATCTGTCTTTTTTTTTTTTCAGTCCCCATTTTGTCCTTTCTTTTTTCCTCGTAAGCAGCCATATTTGTTTTGAGGAGCTAACTACACTGAAACTAAGTCTACGTTCAGACTGCAGGGCTTAATTTGGATTTTTTTGTGAAATCCGATTTTTTTGCGAGGTCGTTCACATTTCCAATTAACTGCGACTTGTATGTGATCTCCAGTGAGAACTTTAAACGCCCCGAAATTGTCCCACATGCGCATTGGAGGACACAATGACGTCACACGCAGCCAATGTGCTCAGTGTTTACGGACACGAGCATTGAGCACCTGGAGATTTTAAAGTTGCTGTCGTACCGGAGCCAGAACATGTACAGCTTTTTTCTTTTTTTTTTTAAGAAGAGATTTAGAGGGAGAAGGACAATGTTTTTGGCCATGGCCTTTTGTGGGGCAGTGGCAGCAATGTCCGTAGAAAGGCACGTGTGGGTGCAGAGTCGCAGCCGAGAGTGGTGGAATTGCTATGTGCTTCACTGCTTCACTGACGCGGAGGTCTTACATCATTTTCGTACGATGACAGTGTTTGTGTACATTTGTGATGTGTAGGTGGGATGAATGTGACCTGGCCATTCAGACTGAAGTCGCATGTCAAAAGATCGGATATGTATCAGTTTTAGGAGCACATATCGAAGTGGCCTGGGTCACATTTGAAAAAATCTGATCTGTGTCATTAAAAGATCAGATACAGGTCACATAGGGGAAAAAAAAAAAAAGATTTGGGTCACCTTACACACTCTAGTTTTACAGTAAGACGTATCCGATATTAGTTAAGTCCACTACCCTAAAATACCCTAAGGTGTGAACTGTTCTGTCTCTTAGTCATATTTTGTATAATTGTTCAAAACCCTAATGCATGATGCAGCTCCTTTTAGCATATCTTGATTGTTTTTGTTGTTTTGGGTCTTAGAATAGAGTTGTAAACGGGTAACTGCTTGTACTTTAGACACCAACTTTTGTTCAGAGATGGATTACACAGACGTTTAAAGGCATACTGTGGAACTTTCTTGGCAAAGTGATAATATTTCCAAAGAGACAGGCAGGCGTTGGACCACCACCACAAAAGTTACATAGCTTTTTTTTAAAATCTAAACTGCTGTGGCAAGAGGAAAAGTTGAATTGGATGAGGACGGTTTTTGAAATGTTGAGAGTCCATCTTGAATAGGTCACGTTCACGTGATATTACAACATTCTAGAATATCTACAATTTAAACACAGCTGGAGGACAGGTCAGAATATTTCTGTGGTGGAATCTGCGGTTGTAACTGTCAGATTGCTGATTTATTCACCTGGTTTATGGTTAATTTCTCTGTATTGTAATTACTGGGCCTATCCACATGAAAGAAAAACTGGGACAAAGTTTCACTCTGTCAGTATAAATAAACAAAAGCTAAATTATTTTCTCGTAATAGCTTCAAAAAGTGGTGCCATTTTTCAGCCCCAAAGACGTGAATGTTGTCAGTTGAAAGGAAAGACAAGCTTGTGGACCCAATCTCAAACAAATAATAAAATTTAATATTTGTGGGTTTCTATTTTGGGTATGTCTTCCAAAAACAGTAAATATTCCATAGAGTTTCCATAGACCATCGTCCTCCATCTCAAATTATGACATCAAATTCTAGAACGTGAACGCAACCTATTCACTGAAGTCCTACACCCAGTACTGATTCTTGCTGGGGCTCGATGTTCGACAATGCTGCAACAATTCCGGATCTGCGTCCTTGCCCCCCACCGTCGACATGGGGATGTTATTCGCTGCGTCAGTTTTACGGAAAGTCTCTGTACCGGCCACTTCTCCGTTCTTAGGCTTGGAAGAGGAAGCCGACTGGACATTGTGCTTGCCTGTTTTGTTCTTACGGATCACGTAGTACGCCAAGATCCCTGCCAGGAGAAGTAGCAGAAGAATTACGAGAATCGGGATTAGAATGGACCAGATGTTGCTACGCTTGGATGCAACTGGTTTTCTATGGGTGCTGGTGGGAGCCGTGGTGGGCCAGTTACCCATTCGTGGCCATTGGGTGCCGGTGGGAAGGTCATAACCAGGTGGGAGCCTCAACAGCGTCACAGGATACACCCCAGTTGCATTATAAGGGCTGGTTTGAAAAGACAGGACGCACTCTGCAGGTGGGACTCCATGAGCTTTGAGCAAAAACCTAGCTTCGTCTTGATTTACACCCGATTTTGAACGCGATGGTTTGATCTCCATAGCAACGTGCCCATCGTCTAGTTCCTGTTGGCTAAAAGTGTCTACGGTCTGCCCTGCCCTTGGACCATCCGAAATGACAAATCTTGCGCTTTTTGGTTGCTGGATGACCGTGAACGTTGGCGATGTTCTCGTTTTATTTGCCAATGGAGTTGCGTCCAGTAGTTTGCGATCTACTCTCACTTTGGTGCCCTGAGGTACCATTGGGTTTTCGGCGATGTTAGCGAGAGGCTGGACCGTGATGTTGAGAGTGGAGGAGACGTTTGCAGCCCTGCTCCGAGCCACGAAGGCTACGCTATCCCTCGGTGATGTAGATTTGACGAAGCGGACACTCACTCTTCCTTGGCGAATTTGTTCTTGCGTGAAGGCGGAAGTCGGTTGGCGGTCCACCATAACTGCTGCGTATTTGGGTACACTTGTAATCTTATACAGCACGTCTTCTTTTAAGGGTCCACCCGTAGTAGCTTTCAACATCTCTTCAGTTATCAGTGTTTCGTCATCGCCTTGTTTAACTTTGATTTCAGGAGCTTTTTTAAGGACTAAAGTGTGAGCAAGAACGCCGATATGAAGAGTAAATGGTTCAGTTTGGTGCTCTCCATCTGTGACGTAAAACTCGAAAAAACCTTCTCGTAGACTATCATCGCTCTGGAATCCAATTTGACCTCGATTGACCATATCTTGAGTGAAATCGGTCGTAATGTCCATTGTTAGCAAGTCCACGAGTCTTCCATTTCTGGGCGGTTTGGTCACCTTAAAGTGCACCTCATCGGGCGGGCTGTCTTCGTCTTGCGTGTTGAGATGTTTTTGAGTTAAAATTGTCATAGAACCTTGGAGGACTTCGAGAAGCATATCGGAAGTGACCAATTCTGGAGGATATGAACCACGTCGTCTGATCGGTATGTTAAAGATTTCATCCAAAACTACAAATTCGGCTGCGGGGGAGATACCTTGGTCCAAAGTCTTTAGTCTTGCTCTGAACGCAAAACTATCAGAAGAAGCACCAGAATCATCGTGTAAGTATTCCACTACTCCGGTGTTGACATCTTCCTGCATGAAATAAGGTGATTCCCGGGATAGGTCCTGCCCTCTGAGGGTTAAGCGGCCGTGGGAAGGGAACTGTTTGATTTCGAAGACCACATCTGCGTCGCTGCGTTTGGATTCAGGAAGACTGGCCAGAAGGTTGGAAGCGTCAAGAACTGATTCGTCAATGGTTTTTCGCTGACCCTGCACAATATCCAAACCTGAGGAGAGAAAATGGAGAGAGAATAAATGTAATGAGTTAGTTTTGTAGTTTTTAACCATAGTTACCATATTTACCGTAATCTTTTCACACATGTTGGAATCATCCTGTCTAGTGCTATTTACTTGCAATTACTCAAAAATTAAACATAGCATAAGATAGCATACAAAACAAAGATAAAACTGGGCACCAGTGAAGCAAAACTATAACTCCAGGTATGTTTCTGATGATAGAACAATGTCATAGCATTGTTAAAAGCCCCCCAAAAGTAAATTTGATTGAAAAAATCTGTTCTTAAAAATAATATATCACACAAAATGTACTATTGTGACCATCAAGCCATGTTATAATGTTGTTAGGTCATCAAAAACATAGCTTAAGTTGTGGATGGATGTTTGACTAATCCTGGTTTATTAGACTGTCTACTAGCCTGATTCATCAGCTGGTTTTACTTCGTGGAAACCGTCTGACCTAGCAGCATTAGGATTCGTTCATTCGACGGTAGGCGGGTTCTTTTTAATTTAACCAATTGCTGCTATTTGGTTGTGACGCATATATAATGCACCGGAACATTCAGTGGTGTCCAAGTAATTGCCAGCACAACAGCAAACAAAGCGGAGAGTGAACGTCTGTCAACGATCATTGTCGTTTCTGCGAGATGAACTTGCGAACTATAGGTGCAATAAAAATTGGAAAGTTTGTATTGATGAAGGAAGTCAAAAGGAGGATAGCGCATGCAGTCTGTTATTGCAACTCGGGTTGGTTCAGCTCTTCGCTGATTGGCCGGTGCACAAGCTACAAATTCCGGGGTTCTTGAAAACCATCCAGTGTATTCTGATTGCTGACGCTGAAGAGAAATGAAACTGAGCAGAGGCACTAGGTGGCGCCAGCCTGGCTACCTGTCTACATCTCCAAAGCTCAAAACCCTCTGTTCCCCCTTGTGATGTCATGAAGTAGTAGTTTTCAGTTTAACAGCTACAGTACCTTTTACCTTTAGTTCAGTAGAGACTGGCAGATCCAGGTCTGAAATGATCTACTGTAAATATTTCTAGTGAAAGTGCACGGAGTATAAAAACACAGTGGAGCATTTCCTGAATTACCACATGACATCACAAGGTGGATCAGAACGTTTTCAGTTTGAAAGAAGAATTATGCAGCGTATAACATAGATAAGAAAATAGTGTAATATGGGCCCATTAAATGTCTTCTTTAACTCAATTTCAGTGTTGTTGCCTTGACCTTTGTTCTTCCACAGCTGTGAGGAGACGTTGCTATGGGCAGCGTAGTATGAGATGGTGATGGGAAGGACGTGTCTGACGTCTGGGGCTGGCTGGGAGGACAGAATCAGCTCTACGGAATCCCTCGTGACCCAGAAAGGTTCTTCTGGAAGCTGGTGCTCATAAAACACCGCTCCGGACTCCAGCTATGGGACAGAGACACAGAGACGAGGCGTCAAATTTACAGTCAAATCGTTTTCATTTCATAAATCACAGCTTAAGTAATTGTTAAAGGCAATAGATTTTATTCAGTCCCGAGTGTCCCAAACCAAGCAAGAGGAATCTATAACTGTCATCACCAGAGAATTTCAAACCTTTCGTGCCAAGTTCCACATCAGAAAATATTTGGATTTGCAATACCGTAGTTAATGGGCTAAACAGTGAATCTCCAATAGAGTCATATAGAGGCCCCTTCCCTCCATCTGAAATCACTTTGTAGAGCATTAACAGAACTTAGTGATGCTTTACCATGGGAACACAACGCACACATTAGCAAACACTGCCAAATAAATTAAGAAGAAAGAAAAAATATAACCTGGATTTAAACAGGACCTTTTCAGGAGCCTGTAATTGATACGAGTGTTCATGGTCCTGTTGAGGAATTTGATTTTCAACCAAAAAGTGAGAGTGACTAACTGAAAAACTGTTGAGCAGGTGTGGGGTGGGCTTTGGAGCGATGACCGCGAACCGACAGTCACAACAATCCAATGTGGGTGAACCGGTACACTCCGGACTTTGAAACAGAGCGGGCATTTGCGCTTGGTTGATGCCATTTCCCTTTTCTCCAGACACGACGGGACATCGCGGTGACCAGCAGTGCCAGGTTGGGGTGAGGCTGAGAGGGGGTCCTCATGTACCACCTGTAGACTCCAGTAGCTGTGCTCATCACGTAAGAACCTGCATCTGAGTCATTGGCGGCTGCTAGTCCAACTCGAATATTCACATGTACTGGCCATAGTTGATCCTAAAGAGGTTTACAGACATGGATTTGGCCCAAAAGTCAAATTTTTTTCTTGCAAATATGCACTAAAATGCCAAAATAAGGCCAGGGATAAGTATACATTTCTATTTTAGACCCATTTACACAATTAATCAGTGGAAAAAAGTGATTTTGGTGTTCAGTGACCCACTAAAAGCACAAATCATCTCAGTAAGCCAATGATGTTCATTTTGTCTTCTTATATACTTTAACTTCTTGGGTTCTTTTTAAAGACAATGCAGTAAAGTGTGTTTACCTTGTTGACATGTTTCGGCTGCTAGCTGCAAGCCATCTTCAGAACTGTCACTGGTACGAGCTGTTGGCGGACCAACAGCTCGTACACCCCAAGGACAAAATCCCACAAGAACAAAAATGCAATGCCATATACGAAATTCAATGCAAATCATGCAATAAATCATACATAGGGGAAACAGGCCGGGCATTTCACATCCGAAAAAAGGAACACCAAAAGGAATGCGAGAAGGAAACGTCAGGGAGACTCACCAGAACACAAAAAAGATAAAGCAGAACAGGAAAACCTAAAATCCGCCATATCAGACACTGTAAAAGGAACAACCACATTATGGATCGGGACGGGGCTCGGGTCATTGGATCGGAAAACAACAAGTTCAAACGCTGGATCAAGGAGGCCATTGAAATCAGGAAACGAGGCACGGACAGCATTAACCGTGATGACGGCGCGTTCCTCCTTTCACACACCTGGGACACCCTCCTCCAGAGAACACCGGGCGACGGGAGGCGTGGTCAGTCTGAGCGACCTGCCAGGTCCATCAGGCTGACCACGCCTACAGGAAGTAACAACAGCTGATATACGACATGTCACTACCAACACCGGTGACAGTTCTGAAGATGGCCTGCAGCTAGCAGCCGAAACATGTCAACAAGGTAAATACACTTTACTGCATTGTCTTTAAAAAGAACCTAAGAAGTTAAAACACAAATCATCTCACCTGTTATAGTCCAACAAAATCAGTTCTTTACGGTCAGATTGTATTTAAAAAAAAAAAAAACATCAAATTAAAGTCTAACTTAAGGTACAGAGCTTCAGACAGAGCAGTGCTTCGAGTTAGCTTCACCTCCCAAAGAATGTTGATGACATAAGCTGCAAAGTTTTAGTTAACAAGTGGTCCAAGACTAGTTTTTATATCAATCTAAGTTTCCTTTTTACAGTATTGGAAAGAATATATGAAGAAAATGTGTTAAGTTAGAACACCGATTTATTGCAATGGACACAATTAGACTGACTTTTTTTAAGAGCCATAATTTGATCCACAAATACCAAAATTTCCTGTCTTATTCTGCATTAAAAGTGCTAACCCTGTAGTTTATATGTTCTGAAAATGTGATTCTTGTATTAGTTTGTCAAGTCATATTTCAGTCTGTTTATTAGTTTTTCTGGCATGTTTAAAGGCCCCGTATTGCACTATTTCCTAATCTCTGTTATAATGTTGTTTCCTCATCACAGACACACTGAAGATGTGTTTTGTTTCATTCACACATGTTTAACACACAAACAAACCCTGCAGATTTAGAGGTTCTTCTCTCAGAAGACACTCTCTTCCACCTTGTGATGTCATGTGGTAATACAGATAGTGTTGGGGAGTAACAGATTAAATGTACTGGAGTTACATAATCAGAGTACAAATTATGACTGTATTCAGTTACAGTTACTGTTTCAGTGAGTGGTAATTGCATTACAGTTACTTTGTTGAAATAAATGGATTACACAGCGGGATTTTCCTGTTTTCACATTATTTTTTTTTTTTTTTTCGGTACTCATTGCTGGAAACTAAACCAGGACTAAAACCAGGTCTAAACCAGGACTAAACCAGGGGACTAAACCAGGACTAAAACCAGGTCTAAACTAGATCTAAACCAGGACTAAAACCAGGTCTAAACCAGGTCTAAACTAAAACCAGGTCTAAACCAGGACTAAACTAGAAAACTCTAAACCAGGACTAAACCAGGTAAACCAGGTCTAAACCAGGACTAAAACCAGGTTTAAATCAGGACTAAACCAGGACTAAAACAGGATTTAACAGGACTAAACCATGCTGCGCTGGATGTGTCTCCTCCTCTTCTATGAATAATATTTTTAATACGGTTAAGTATCCTCGTCTTTGCTTCTCTACAGCAAATCAAGTAATCCAAAGTATTCAGATTACGTTACTCACTTTAAGTAATTTAATGGATTACGTTACAAACTACATTTTGGGGTATGTAATCTGTAATCTGTAGGGGAATACATTTTAAAAGTCACCTTCCCAACACTGAATACAGATAGAGCTCCACTGTGTTTTTAACCTTCATACACCTTCACAGAGATTGGAACGGCCCATCTCTACTGAAAAAAAGCTAAAAAAACACAAACGAAAACCACCACAAACATCACAAGGTGGAACAGAGCATTTTGAGCTTTGAAGATGTAGACAGACTAATAATAAAGGGTTACTCAGACATGTGTGAATGAAACAAAACACAACTCCAGATCTGTAACTGATGTGTAACAACGGCTGTGTCCAAATGTCCACTACATGTCCATACAGTGCACTCATCCACAGAGCGATTTGGATGGAGTCTAGGTGAAAAAAGGCCGATAAACTCTGATAAAACTTGATTTCTGTCATAAATAATGATCAAATCAGACCGGCAAACAAATATTCATGGTCTAATAATAATCATACAAGTTTTTGTCACGATGGGTTTCACGTAAAAGGACTGGATTATTTGCTCTTTGTCTGAAATGTGGAAATTATCGATCTATTAATGGCATAACACCATAAAGGCTGATTTAAGATTGTTTTACTCAGAATCACGGATCTACAGAGTCATAAACCAGCACTTTTATCTGCTTTCATTCAGTCGGGTTGTCCAGTTAAACGCCTTTCGATGAACGCCGTTGTTTTCATGAGTTTCGGAATGCATTGTGGTCTATATTGACTGCTGTAGTGACCAACGATGCCCACTACTTTTCGAGGTGCATTGTGGGAAATTTTGAGTGCATACTGGACATTCGGACACCACTGAAAATGGCATGGAAATAGTAGGAAATAGTGTGGACATTCAGACACAGCCAACATTATAACATGCAGGTTCCCACTCTTTTTCACTGACAAAATGTTCGCCTTTTCCATGACTTAAAGTTAATTTTCCATGACTTTGCGGCACGTCCATGTGTAGAATTGAACATACTTTTAGACCTAAATATGAAATGTAACTCTTTCCACTCAACTTATGGTTTGGTATTATAATTTTTGAACATTCAAAATCCTGTCAGTGCATTTATTATCATCTCTTTTAAACAAAAGGTGCAGACGTTCAGAAATAATCATAACAGCCTCATGAGAACTTCACAGAACGCTTTAGTTGCATGAAAGAGATACAAAATTTCCATGACTTTTCCTAAAACTTTCACTGAACTTACAAAATTCCATGACTGATGAATGACATTTTCAATTTCCATGACTTTTCCAGGATTTCCATGACCGTGGGAACCCTGAAAGCTCAGAAGAGTCAGTTTTGTGTAATATGGGACCTCTAAAATTTGAACTTTGCACAGAATCCTGTAATTAAAAGATAATTTGCAACTCTTATCTTAATTGTTTATCAAAAAATTGCAGTTACATTTTCAGTTCTAGTATCGATTAACGTCTGGGTACCAATTCTTTTAACAGCCCTGTAGCTCTAACCGTTGCTTTTTCCCCTGCAGTTCCAATGGTCACAGCCCTGGTTTTGTTTGGCTCGCTGGATAATTCTTCCACCACTGGAATGTCATGAATCATTTTGAAACACTGAGGTCATACGTCCTGATTTCAGCTGCTTTTTCGCCCAATCTCTCTTATACGAAAACAAACTGAAGGAAGTGGAAACATAAACACAAGACGGACAAACAGCTCCAATTAGAACCTGGCTCAAAATGGGAAAAACAAAATAAACAAAACTCTATAATTAAGGGTCAGGTCAGTGTATATAAATGCATTAATAAGATGTAAACCCTAATAAATATACGACTTTTCTGGTGGAAGTTACGCCACACGTTTGATTCCATGGAGTCCAAAATCAGGAGAAATCGAAGTAAACTTAATTGTGCACTATGTAATTTTTTTGTTTGGGGGTCCATCACCTGCTTGTTTCTATGGATACATC